GAGATGTACAGGTTTCGTAAGGGACACACGTTAGTACATGCTAAGTCTTGGCTCCCAGGACTAAAGGGTCATTAAGACTGACCCTTCCCCCCCCCCCCTCTCGATGGTAAAGCACTATACTCGTTAATCAAGTCTTTGTGTTATGCTTTCAGTAATAAACATTCCAATACCTGTGAACACACAATTAGTCGTTGATTACTGATTAATCGAAACGACCGATGAGTAATTGGTAAGCGTCCATCAAAGAACACGACAACCTAACTACCCCACGACACAACCTAACTCTACCCCACGCCACAACCTAACTCTACCCCACGACACAACCTAACTCTACCCCACGACACAACCTAACTCTACCCCACGACACAACCTAACTCTACCCCACGACACAACCTAACTCTACCCCACGACACAACCTAACTCTACCCCACGACACAACCTAACTCTACCCCACGACACAACCTAACTCTACCCCACGACACAACCTAACTCTACCCCACGACACAACCTAACTCTACCCCACGACACAACCTAACTCTACCCCACGACACAACCTAACTCTACCCCACGACACAACCTAACTCTACCCCACGACACAACCTAACTCTACCCCACGACACAACCTAACTCTACCCCACGACACAACCTAACTCTACCCCACGACACAACCTAACTCTACCCCACGACACAACCTAACTCTACCCCACGACACAACCTAACTCTACCCCACGACACAACCTAACTCTACCCCACGACACAACCTAACTCTACCCCACGACACAACCTAACTCTACCCCACGACACAACCTAACTCTACCCCACGACACAACCTAACTCTACCCCACGACACAACCTAACTCTACCCCACGACACAACCTAACTCTACCCCACGACACAACCTAACTCTACCCCACGACACAACCTAACTCTACCCCACGACACAACCTAACTCTACCCCACGACACAACCTAACTCTACCCCACGACACAACCTAACTCTACCCCACGACACAACCTAACTCTACCCCACGACACAACCTAACTCTACCCCACGACACAACCTAACTCTACCCCACGACACAACCTAACTCTACCCCACGACACAACCTAACTCTACCCCACGACACAACCTAACTCTACCCCACGACACAACCTAACTCTACCCCACGACACAACCTAACTCTACCCCACGACACAACCTAACTCTACCCCACGACACAACCTAACTCTACCCCACGACACAACCTAACTCTACCCCACGACACAACCTAACTCTACCCCACGACACAACCTAACTCTACCCCACGACACAACCTAACTCTACCCCACGACACAACCTAACTCTACCCCACGACACAACCTAACTCTACCCCACGACACAACCTAACTCTACCCCACGACACAACCTAACTACCCCACGACACAACCTAACTACCCCACGACACAACCTCTCTACCCCACGCCACAACCTAACTCTACCCCACGACACAACCTAACTCTACCCCACGACACAACCTAACTCTACCCCACGACACAACCTAACTCTACCCCACGACACAACCTAACTACCCCACGCCACAACCTAACTACCCCACGCCACAGCCTAACTACCCCACGACACAGCCTAACTACCCCACGCCACAACAAAACCACCCCATCCCGGCCCGCCTCTTCCAACTTTCACCACATATATATATGTAACATTCAGCTCACAAACTATCGGGTATTTCCCCCTCTCAAACATGGGGAAAATAAACGACGCTTTACATTATATATCTCCGCTGTTGCTAGATTTTCCAGTCGACTGGTAGATTAGTATGCTACAGCAGTCTGCTGGTGGCTATGTGCTACTCCGTTTCAGTCCCCGTGGTGTAGTGGTAAGACACTCGCCTGGCGTTCCGCGAGCGCTATGTCATGGGTTCGTATCCTGGCCGGGGAGGATTTACTGGGCGCAAATCCTTAACTGTAGCCTCTGTTTAACGCAACAGTAAAATGTGTACTTGGATGAAAAAACGATTCTTCGCGGCAGGGGATCGTATTCCAGGGACCATAGGATTAAGGACTTGCCCGAAACGCTACGCGTACTAGTGGCTGTACAAGAATGTAACAACTCTTGTATATTTAAAAAAATACAACCGGTTTGTCTAACCAGCAACCAACCAATTTTTTTTTTTTTTTTTTTTTTGAGATATATACAAGAGTTGTTACATTCTTGTAGAGCCACTAGTACGCGTAGCGTTTCGGGCAAGTCCTTAATCCTATGGTCCCTGGAATACGATCCCCTGCCGCGAAGAATCGTTTTTTCATCCAAGTACACATTTTACTGTTGCGTTAAACAGAGGCTACAGTTAAGGAATTGCGCCCAGTAAATCCTCCCCGGCCAGGATACTAACCCATGACATAGCGCTCGCGGAACGCCAGGCGAGTGTCTTACCACTACACCACGGAGACTTAAATCAAAGCAACTCGCCTATAGCCTATTGAGACCGATGTATGTAAAAAACGTCACTATTACAGGCATTTGATTTAATAATGCGTCGCATTTTTTACGTAGTTATCGATTCCCCTGAGCACTTATGACGTCCAGTGACATCTGTTGGTATATTTTGGAACTATTCTTCCACTGAAACTTAGGGGATATTCATGCCCGTGCCACCTCTTTGGTGGCTTAATCTTCAATCAATCACCAATGAACAGGGGGAGGCATCTCCCGTCACAGATCCAGTATCAGCTCTTGATACTGGTAATGGCTCAAAAGAGCCACCACTTACGGGCTATTCATGCCCGTGCCACCTTTTGGGTGGCTTAATCTTCATCAATTAATCACCAATGAACCCCAGTCAGGTTCACAACTAGCCGGGTAAACTGAAAGTACTTACAGTAACTATTTTTGGTGGGAACTGCCAGCATGTAGTGGTGAACCACCAGAAAGTTGACTCGTGTTATTACATCCAGACAAACCGGAAACCTTTTTTTTTTTTTTTTTTTTTTTTTTTTTTAATTCCAACATTATAGGACCTAGCCTAATTTCTCCTTCCCATTCTAGACCTAATACAAGCTATCCTAGGCCTAATATGGTACATATATGTGTATATTAGGCATGTTGCTATATTTTTTTCCTATACTACATAGAAAATAATTTTGTACAAAAAGTGCTTCACTGGTGGATCATCATTGCATATTTGGCACTTTGGATCAATTAGTTACTATAAGTACTACATCATCCAGGAGGATGGGTTGTCACATCTGTACATTTGTCAACCACTTTCACCTTTTATTGTTTCCTTTGTGGCCATTATATTTATTACTATTGATCTTTCCTGCAGGAATTGCCGCTTTTTGCAGCTTGCAATAAAATCTTCTCAATTACGGCATTTGTTTTCCGTATTAATTAATGTTTTTCTGCTTAACTAATGTAGCTTGGTATTCACATTATTCTGATATCTTGTCCCCCATTCTTATCTCCATTCTCGTTCCCATTACCAACATTCTTTGTTTCTCTCCGTAAGAATATAGTCAATTGTGACCCCCTGTTCTCATTAATCGTCAGTACTGTGTATCATGAATACGTATATTCTCTTACTCAAAATGCTTTATATACACGGAAAACACTGCACGTTATTAACTGCTTTTGTAACGACCACCTCCAACGAGCAGGCACACCCCCATTCCTCTCCCACGGCTTGTGCAACACTGCCAACTGCTCATGCCACTTGCTCACCCCTCCCAGCGGGCCTCCACACCAGCTTGAGCAACCCTACACATCTGCATAGTACTCATTAGACATGTTTGTAACGCGTCACAGGTTCCTGGGTCCATACTTACCCATTCCTGGGGCCAATATTGACTCATAGATTGACACACTCAACTTCTAACCACTTGGGCTGGACGGTAGAACGACAGCCTTGCTTCGTGCAGGTCGGCGATCAATCCCCGACCGTCCAAGTGGTTGGGCACCATTCCTTTACCGCCAAACCCCCCGTCCCATCCCCCAATCCTTATCCCTTCCATGTGCAATATAGTCGCGCTGGCTTGACGCTTTCTCCTTATAGTTTCCTTCCGTAAGAATATAGTCAATTGTGACCCCCTGTTCTCATTAATCGTCAGTACTGTGTATCATGTATATGTATATTCTCATACTCAAATTATATGTATAAGCAAAGTAATCGTCTCAGAGGCCATGTACATTTCTTGGGAGATAAGCATGGGTTCCTATACGTGGAAATCAAAATGAATTGCATAGAAGCGAGTGATACAACATGCGGTCCTGTAGCAGCAATATACGTCCTCTGTTGACACCCTAGGATCCCTGTAGTAGTTGGCCTAGGGGAAGGGGGGGCATCTAGGGGCCTAAATACAGGCCTCCTGGCCCCGACAACGTGAGTTATGAGCGTTGATGTGCCAACGACGAACGTTGATGGAATACTGACACCAGGCAGCGAGGGAATGCCGTGTTTTTTTACCCTGCTCAACTTTCTACCCCCACAGGAAACCCCTCCCATAATCAACTATGTCACCCACTGTACTGAACACACATCTGCGCCCTCTCCCTCCCCCCACACTCGTGGGGGGGGGTCGAGTGTGGGGGGAGGGGAGAGGAGTGTTAGGGGAGGGAATGTGGGTGGGTATGTAAAGGTATGAAAATGGGGGGGGAAATGTGAATGCATGTGATTATAAGCCTTACCCCTACTAGTTTCACACACACGTGGGTTCAGGAGCAGATGGCTTTGATTCCTGCTAACAGACAGAGCTTTGCCTTTCCATGCCTCCTGCTTGTTTCAGACTTACACTTATCAAGTTAAGCGAGTATATGGAGCGCATCGCGTGAACAAACGTAACAATGAATAAACCCAAGACTCGTTAACTTACTCCTTACTTACAAAACGATAATCCTGGAATAATTCATCTACAGATTTGTAAATCAAATTATTTTTCATAACTGCTAAAATCTTTAGTGAATATAACAAATTAGACTAAAACTTAAAGAGCACTAATACGCACCGATTGCTGGTAGCGAAGTGTCGCTCCAGACATCGTTTGATATTGCTGCCAAACTTGCGTCTGGGTGGCGTGGGGTCAATACTGTCCTCGGGAGTGCCAGTGTCGTCGAAACGTCCATAAGAATCTGGCGTCTGGGCGCTATAACCCGATGGTGTGGCGGTGTGGCTAGGGGTGTGACCGAGCCCCTGAGAGCGGATCGGCGTCACACCACCATTGGTATCCAAGTTATCTTTTGGTTCCAAGGGGAGCGAGGCATCCATCTGCTGGGGTTGAGTGCCACTGGTGTTATGTGGTAGCGGGAGGTTGAGGTATGTAGCGTGGTCGTGCAGCCAGCCGGTCAGTATCTCACGGAATGTTGCCAAGTCCAGCTCGTTGTCGTCACCTTCAGAGCACACAGCCTCCCTCAGGGTATCCATCAGCCACCTGCCGGGAAATCAACAATTTTAAAATGTTTGTTAACCCCTTACTAGACATTTTTAATTATATGTACCACAACCCATCCTCTAGCCTAATTGCGTCGCTTTTTTTTACGGACTCGACCAATGTATCAAATCAGATGTATTAGTAAATATTAAACAATCGTAAGACCGATGTTTTCTATGCCTTGATAGGTTAAATGGATTGGTTGGGTTTGTATGTTCCCAACCAATTAGACCAACTGAGATGGAACGCCGACCTGCAGGAAGCGAGGCCGTCGTTGTACCAACCAGTCCAAGCTGATGTCTGTCCACAAGATCCCTTATTCCCAAAATTATTGTCTATGTAAACAAATATAAAATGTTATGTCTGAAATAAAGATTACCAGTAATAACTGGCCAACAAAATCACAAGAATGAGAAAATACAAGTCATAAAATGGACTGGAACCCATACTGTCAGCATACCTGGGCTGGAACCCCATACTCTCAGCATACCCGGGCTGGAACCCATACTGGCAGCATACCCGGGCTGGAACCCATACTGTCAGCATACCCGGGCTGGAGCCCATACTGTCAGCATACCTGGGCTGGAGGTCGCCGAGAGAGAGCGCCAGATGAGAGGCGAGGAGGGCAGCGGGCACACGACCGAGGCCCTCGGTGTCACAGGAGTAGAAGAGGCCGTCCACCATGTCCTCCTCTGCTGCTGGCGAAGATAAGAGAGGCTGCAACAACACGCTATGAAAATGGCCACAAAAGTTCCAAGAAGACGCAAAAGGTAATGTAGACATTTAATCTTGCACGATTAAATGTATATGATTAAACGTATGTATTACCCGACAAGTCATTTACGATCATCTGAATTTTCAATTATAAAATGTGAAATGCGTTATATTAGGCTAATCAATTTTCATTCGGCTCTGATTCAAAACAGGCTCGCCTACCTGCCTGTCACTTTTAGTTCTGTCAGTACATACTGGGGGGTCATTATGCCCCTGTTATCTAGCAGTAAATAGGTACCTGGGTGTTAGTCAGCTGTCACGGGCTGCTTCCTGGGGGTGGAGGCCTGGTCGAGGACCGGGCCGCGGGGACACTAAAAAGCCCCGAAATCATCTAAAGATAGATCTAAAGAAGATGGTCATAACTCCTGTACACACGTATCATCACAGTTCACTTGTGGTCACTAACCTTTCAGTTCGGCAGGTGTTAGCGCTGACCGCCTGCTGGCCACACTGAGAAGGCTCGTGTCACTCTCTCCAAGCCCTTGATACACTTCTTCATCTAAGAACGACGTAACTTCTTCACAATTATCCAAAACCTAATAATAAAAAATACATATTTTGATTACAGTTGAATCACTAGTGGGGTTCAGTTCCTAAGTCCATTATGCCTCTTTTCCCACTGACGCCCACTGCATGGGTATGGGGTACATAATAAATGAACTATCAAATGATTCACTTGGCCATCGATATTTACGCAGTAAATGAAACATTTTGGGTGTGGAGGTTGGATTATAAAATTGATTTATCACTATCTGAAACTTAAAAAAATATATAGTATTTAAATATAAATTTCAGTAGACAATTTTAAATTTTAAGTGCACCAAATTTGAAGTGTTCTTACCTGTGTGTGAAGAACTTTCGGCTCAGTTGAGCTAGTATTTAGCTCTCGTGGACAGGAGGCATCATAGGCCTCAAGGTCTAGGCTGACATCTAAGGCAGGAGGATGACTGCCAACTATATTATTGACTTCGGCTTCACTTGGTGGTGTTTGTGCAACAATACTCTCCGAGACTGTATGTGGATCGCTTGTATTTTGAGAGACTTGACCACCGTCTTCACTACCTTCTTCTGGGTCATGTGTATGTGCCATTGTCGCTTTAGGAACGTTGACCTCAATGCTATTATCGGTATCTGTTTCTTCAGCGTTCACCATCTTTACATCGGGTGTTGCCCGAAATGCCTCTGGCACAACGTGGCTAACAGCAGCACTATTTGGGTCGTTGTTGCCTTGGCCAATAGCAGCGCTATTTTGGCCTGGATAATTCATACAATCTACGGTGGATTGGTCTGCAGTTAACATTGCAGCTGTTAGCTTATCAATATCTGGGCTATATTTAGTGGTGGGTTGGATTGTCTCTGGGTACGCAGTAGTGATCTGGTCTGTTTGTGTGCTAGTAACGAGTTGGAGAGTTTCTTGACGGGTAACAGTAGTGGCAGATTGATCCGATTTTAGAGTGTTAGTAGTGGTGATCAGTTCTGCTTCTACATTATAAGAAATTATGTGGTCTATTCCTTGCTCAACGGCAGCTTTGTCTGTATCGTGGCTTAAAATCGCTATGTCTATTTGGCTGGTAGTAAGTGGGTTTTTGTCTTCGACAGTTGCAGCTATACAAAGGTCTGTTTCTATATTATCGGCAATGTTGGGGGCAATACTGTCATATTCTCTGCTTGTATAGCATATAGAATTGTCTGTGCCTTGGTCAACTGCACAGGTCGGCTGTTCTGCTCCGTCATTGTATCTCTCAGCTTCGTGTCCTCCTACACCAAAAGAAATGGGTTGGGAAGTTCCTTGGTTATTAGCATGAAATTGGCCTATTTTTAATGCAGAGGTACCGACTTGCTGGTCTGTTCCGAGGCTCTCAGTATTGATGGGGTGGAGAGTTTCTTGGTTGACATAAATAGAACTGACTTTTTCTGGGTTATTATTATTATTATTAGACGACTGATAAAGTGCAGCGACTGGCTGAACAGACTCTTGCCCAGTAGTACAGGCTGGTTGGTTTGTTCTCTGGTCAACAAAATTGAATGAATGGTCAGTTTCTGGGTCAACATTACCTTCTTGTTGGATTGTCGTTTGGCTAAAATTACCGCCAACTTGGAATATTCCTCGGTCAACAGTAGCAAGTGTGTGATTGTGGTCAACAGAACTTGCTGGATGGTCTATTAAATTACAAGCTGTGGCCGCTGGCGTTGTTGTTCCTTGATCAGTACGACTAACGTGCCGGTTATATTCTCGCTTGGGTGCAGCATAAATAGGTTGGTACGGTTTGGGTTTCCTAGGAGAGACCGTTTTCATCTTTCCACTTCGAGAAAAGATTGGTCTTTGTCCACCTTTAACATCGCTACAAAACCACGGCCCGAGATCCCCATCATGGCCATTAAATTGATTATGGACTAATTTTTCCTGCTGATGGCTATGGTTCGAGCCATCTGTTTCGTGGAAACTACTGCATTCGGAACTTAAAATAGATTCATCACTTCGTCTGCCGTTGGTCATATTCGGGTCTCCCGTCTGGTTGATATCTCCGTAACACCCGGCAACACCTCTCTCTTGTACTGGACTCCATCCTCTTTCCATCTCGCTATCGGAATGAGTTACACTGCAAACCTTTTCTCGATCAGATTGACTATAGTCCAGCTCAGTAATTCTACTTGTATTATTTAATAAGCTATCACTTATATCTTCTATGAAAGTGATGTGTGACGTATCCTTGTTTGAACATTGTATCGTACCTAAGCTCTCTTTATTAATGGTTAGTCTCTTCAACTGTTGAACATTATTGCAAGTGCAACTGGTATTGTGGCAAGTATTACACTGTGTAAGTGTATTGTCTTCACTGTCGTCTCTCAAGCTCGATATTAATTGGAATTCCTCGTCTGAATTGAAGCCATATTTTACAACGCACTTAATTTCACCATGGTTTGATATATTGTCTAAATGAATTTCGTCTTTACTCACGCCAACTTGTGAACTGGTTGTATCATCTAGTATACTATCACTTATATCCTCTAACAATGTGATACTATTGTCGCTCTTAGCTTCCCTGCTGCTGGCAAGCTCTAGCTCCTGAGCCGATAATTTGACCTCCTCACGCACCACTGTTCCACCTCTAGCCCCTTCTTTAGACACTGTGGCCGGTGCCGAGGGCAGTGTCTCTTCTAAACTAAACTCTGAAACATCGTTAAGAATACTGTCGCTGATGTGTACCAGCTGTGTCGTGTCGACTACAAATAAATCGGGGTGGAAATTGACTGGAGGAAGATGGACTCCGCTGCCAGCCATTGAAGTGTTCGGAGTCTGAACGCGGTTATGGTGTAAAATATCAGTATTCTCTGAAATATTTACAAAGCCCTCCAGGCGGCTGCTGCTACCGTCACTGGGTTCCTGGATGGAATAGGTAGCATTATTACCTGATGTGGGCGAGTTACTTTCAGAAATGTAGCCTGGGTTTGACACCACATTGCTAAATTCAGGAGAGATTTGGACAGTTTCATCAGGTATTTCAGAGTACGTACTTGTATCTTCGAGACTAAGACTAGGCATTTGACTCTTAGCCGCTAAATCACCAAATAGGTCTGGAATCAGAAATGTTTCATCAAGAAGTGGGTTTATGGCCCGGGACCTATTATGATGATAAAGGCTGGGAGTACTAGATGCTTCAGGACAGAGTGTCTGATCCAACAGGAGGTCTTCAAAAGCAGACTCATGATAGTCGATAGAATCCTGTAGTTCTGATGTTGGCCGTGTTGTTGTGGCAGCGGCAGGCAGCTGGTCATCAGGCTGGTCACGAGCACCCGGGTCACCCTCATTCCAGCCTGGTGTGTCCATTATCTGGAAAATTACAAATGTTTCTCTTGTAATCTTCGTTGTCGGGGACAAGAAGCTTGTACTTAAAAGCTTACCGAGCGACCCCCTTTCCCCCTCCTATGCCAACTACTGACCTTTCCCAGGATGCAGCCCACAACAATTGCCTAATTCCCATGTAAGTATTTACTGCTAGATGAACAGAAGCATCGAGTGAAAGGAAAAGTGTTTAACCTGGGATTGAACCCGACATCCTCTACTGCAAGTCGAGGACATGTACAGGGTCTCGTTTCCAGTGGTCTAAAACAATTAACCCTCAGGAAAGGGAAATAGAACGGTTGAAGAGCCTCTTCCAAGGATACTCATTTTGGCAGAATTGTTTCAAAGAAACTCAGCTGTCTACATTGCAAGCGGCAGCTATGACAGCAGCTACTTCACAGAAAGCAGTAAGGTGCACTAACCAGTTACTAAAAAACGAAAAATGTTATAGTAGTGGTTGGAGTTGAACAGTAAGGCTACAATCAGGAGTAGAGGAAAAACCTATTTGTTGTGACAATGATCCTCATAGATACACAGGGCAGCATAGAGAACGTTTTCAGGCTAGGCAGTTACATCAAGGAAAAAACGATCAATAAAGAGTGCTCACGAATGCGCCTACAAGAAAGGCAGTATTAGTAAAGGCAGGACTGGCAAGGTGGTATTGTAAGATGAGGGAAGGGAATGGGAAACCACAGGCCCCAGTTTTGTAGGTCCAGAGGGAAATGGGGAACCCTCCACCAGCAGGCCAACAAACTCCATAGAGCAGTACAGCAGATGCCTAGACCACCCACCATCCTCCCCATCCCATAGAGACTCAATACTCTCCTTGCCATACTGTCCTGTGCCCTCCTTGGGCCTCCCCCCCTCTCCACCACATATCTCTAAGCAAGAACTAAACTCCCATACTCCCCACTCCAAGAACCTAAACATCCCCTCCCTAGTATTTTCTCCTTGCTCTGTTCTGAACCGAGAAAGGTGGTATTAAACCAACAGCACTGGATGAATTTGATATTACCAGAGATGAGGTAAAGTATCTGCTGGAACTGGACAAGATTTCACCATGGCTACAAAGAGAGCAGAAGCACTATGCTTGCCACTTTCTATGGTGTATAATAGGTCGCTGGAAACAGACCTGCCTGTAAAATGGAACACAGGTAACGTAGTCCCAGTACACGAAGGAGAAAGACAATTAGCATTGAACTTTCCCAGGATGCAACGGTAGCTACAGGCACAGCTAGGGCCTGTGCCCCTAGCTTGTATACCAGGCAGTGTTGGAGAAGATTGTGAGAAAAAGGCTAATAATAAACTTGTAAAGTTGGAACTTTTGTAACACAAACACTGGTTCACATACGGAAAATCTTGCATCACATGTTTAGCAGAGTTTTATGACCAGGCTCTTGTACTCTTGCCTAAATAATAATTATTTGTTTTAAAGTATTAAACAAAAATGATTACACTTATGTGGGGAAGCTTCTAGGGCAGGGATGGCCAACCTTCGGCACGCGTGCCAACTATGACACGCAAAACTTTTTTTTCCTGGCAAGCGAAACTAAATGCTCTTAAAAATAATTAAATACAGTATCTAACTTCTTCGCCGAGTTATTTATTTTAACAATAAAATACAATTATATTAAGTAGATCGATATCAGATAAAATCCAATAAAGAAAAACTGACAACTGTTTTAGTAATAATAAATGGTGTGTAATAAGAAGTAATAAGAATATGAAACTACCTAAACTACGGGCTCACCATAGCCCGTGCTACTTCCAACTTTTTGTTCCCAGTAGCTGAAGTTAAAAACGAAAAAGCAACAGTTGTTGCATCATTCGCCAAGCGGCCACACGCTGCGTGACTCCTTTACCGTCATTGTAGGTAGGCTTATAATTTTATTAATTTTTGGTTTGCCTACTCATGAGTCGATTTTCATAAAACTTGGGTGGGTGTATGCAGTGTGTTATGACGAGATCTCATCTTTAATTTTATTTTATTTTGTTGTGCTTTGGCCAAGTAAAACGATTATGAGATTGGGCAGTTTTATTTTTTTTATTATTATTTTCTACCACAGACGTGGCCACATATTTATAATGCTAACTAGCATATATACATTTTCTTCTGTCCTCCGTGGACAGGGTGAAAGATTTGTCAAACATTTGTCAAATCTCTGAATTAATTTGTCAGTTCAGAGATTTATTGAACAACCACAGAAGGTAAGGTGTTGATCGTAGTGCTTTTAAAATGTTAGGCTCAGCTACATACGTAAATACATAAGATAGATTGGGCAGTGTAATATATTGGGAAACCTTTAAAGCATATGGTCAATTGATCCAATATGATAACAAATCAGAATTATTGTTTACTCATTTGAAGTTAACAACTGCTACTTTAAATTGTGGTTGTATATGGCAGCGAGAATTACACTTAAAGGCTACTAAAAAAATTATCCACGCAATCACAGGGTAGAACGACCTTTCAGTAAAAATTCAATCACTAATTTGACATTCAAATCTCATAACTTACAATAATCATTCTTAGAATAGTCTTCTATTTTATTGCTCGTGTGATTTTATTACTTTTTTTATTCTATTTTTATTATTTGAAAAGTTGTCCAAATACTTAATTAAGACAAAATATGTTCGCCGAAATTTCGGTTGTGGCGCATTCACCTTGAAAAGTCGGCCATCCCTGTAATAGTGTATAGGCTAGAACCTGTTTTATTATTATTATTATTATTATTATTATTATTATTATTATTATTATTAATTATTTACGGCGACCCACAGCAAGAACTGCATTTTGTATTGCGACCCAATATGCCTATGTGTAATGTATCAGAAACTGAATTATGTTCCTTTATTAATTACTGACATGATAAATGCATATTTATGGATGGAAATGTCATTATGCAATAAACTGTTCTGGGGGGGGGGGGGTGCGTATTAACGACATCGTCACTAGTCACCTTTTGTGGTAAAAAATCTTCAAATATGAAATTGATTGTATAATAAGAGTTCGCAGGAACTGTTGCGGTCGTGTAAATCGCCAGAAAGGAGCCGTCATTATTAACTTCCTCCCCTCGTTTTGCTTAGGCCTACACTTATGCAATATTTCAGAACCTTTCATTGCATTTTTCCCATTTGGTCGATTTTAACCAATGCTTAGTATTTTACTATTTAGAAATATAACGAATATAATCTCTTATTATCATTACTATATATTATGTGGATTCAAATTTTGTCATTACTTATATTTTTTATTGTGATTCGCCTAATCTAAATTCACTGTAAATTATGTGTGCTTTGGGACCTGCCCGAATAAAACTTTTGGAACTTCTCAATAAACATTCTTGAACTTGGGACCTGCCCGAAACGCTAGGTGTGTTAGCGGCTTTGCAAGAATCTACAGTTAATCCATACATACTTCCACAACACATTGTACCTTGTATAGAAACAGAAAATATATTCCTCGTGCTTAGAAATTGAGCGTAAACAATGGAGACGACCTGGCGCCTTGAACGTAGCAAACAACCCCTATCCTTCCTCCAGGCTGTGACCAAACGACCAATTTGGCAATTAATAAGAACCCACTAATTAGTGCTATAGTGTGGCCTTTCTGCTTTTTTCTTTATGTCCCCCAATGCGCGCCTTGAGAATAAATATTTCGGGCATAATTTTGGCCGAAACGCTGAGCGTACTAGTGGCTTTACAAGATTGTAATTACTATACTATGTATCCTCACAATCCCAATGTACTTTCTTGTATATATAAATAAATAAAAAGCTTTAAGAGGTACACAAAAGACCTTCGCCCTCCCCCCCCCCCCAAAAAAAAAAAAAAGCCTGGCTATTGAGGCTTTTTGGGAAGCAATACAATCAGATGATAGCGTACTGATTGTTCTCCGCCCTCTAAGTTCATTAATAAGCTCTGTGATCCTGTTAGGCAAGACCCATATGTCCTCTGGATTTAAAGTCATTTGGGATTGTCAACTTAACTTACAAATGAGATAACAGATCGTCAATAGCCTCGTTGCGCTCCAAACTCGAGTATTTATCAATGCCAATCACTGAAAACAACATTCTACCCTCAGGTCTGGAGGTTTATACATGAACCAGTTATCCGTAAAGAAGTCAGAGAAGCCATAAACGAATTTCAACTTAAAATTGTATTTCCAGAGCAAAACAGCAACAGCCTATTAAACCTTTTTTCCACGTCAGTTTTATCTTTTGTCCAAAACTATACAAAAGCCAACCTTAATAATAATAAAAGCTACAGACCTACACAAGCCTGTCCTAAATAGCACATTTAAACTAAATTGTGTTACAGAAATATATAAAAAGCTTAATTTTGAGGCTGCAAGAGGAATCCAATGACGGAATTGACCTTTAATTTGTTGGTCTTCACTAACTAGACCAACATCCCTATAGTCTGGATGTCCAAATATAAATAGTACAAATATAAAATATCTAAGCTATAGACAATGCATTAATTGCCTAACTTTTTCTGCCCATATCAACATCACAAACACATTACCTGGGATATGTTTTGAGGGGAGGTTTTCCTTCCTTATTTTACAACAGTTGCCTGTAAGCTATCGACTATATGATATATATATATATAGTTCGCGTGGTACAAGCTGCACTGTATAAAAATATATAATAGCTACGAAACGGGAAAATGCTATTGAAGGACTGACCGTGTGTTAACAGGTGGGCCCCACACACCTGCCGCCCAGCAAAGCTCGAGCAATACTGAGACTCGAATTTAATTTTCTCGCTAAAATTTTGGTCCTTGGATGTTTTCAGTTTTATTTTTTCGCGTGCATATGTGTTCTCTAAATATTATTATTAATTTATTGGTAAACTGCATACTCCTAAATATTATTAATAATTTATTGGTAAACTGTATACTCCTAAATATTATTAATAATTTATTGGTAAACTGCATATTACAGTTTAAATACAAATAAAATTAATTGATGGTGAGAATGGATAAATAATATTTATTTGTGGATAAATAATTAAAGACTTTTTGTATACTTGTTATATAATGTATCATAGCAATTTACTAAAAAAAATTTGTCTTAATAAAAAATCTTAACTAAATCCACTTTGGAAACATTAACTGCTAATTAAATCATTCTTATTTTATTTTCCAAACTAATATGAATGAATTATATATTTACTTAAACTCCTGCTGTTTTCCATTCTTCAAAATAATTGCATAAAAATATAAAAAATGAAAAAAATTACCTAAAATAAGTAGAACCACTAAAATAAGATCGCGCCACCATTTCACATATTATATATATTATATATGACGACCATTCGAGCACATTCCAAGTGAAGGCTTTTGACATATGCTCTGGGTACCTGATGCCTATTACTCAAGTATCTATCCGGAGTACTTGATACTTGGCACATATCACCAACTTGCTGTTATATTTTACTTGATGGGGTATCAGCCTTACCTGGGTCTCTTCCCCCCCCCCCCTCTTTCATTTCTCTTCCGATATCTCCCCTTCTCTTCTCCACTTTAATCCCCCCTTTCACCTCTTCTCCACTTTTACACCTTTCTCTCATTCCCCTCTCCCCCCTTCTCTCATAAAATGATATATTTCGAAGCACTGAAAAAATTAAATCTATTGAAAACATACCCCTGATTTCAGACTGAAAATTACAGAGGAGGGTTGCTATACATGCAGATATTTCTCAAGTGAGACACTGGAGCCAACCCCAATTAGCTGATGACACATATAAGACTCCATGTGTCTTTTTGAAAGATGGGTGAGGGTGGCCCCAAGCATCTATACTTTGGTTTGAGACAAATATTCTATTATATAGATACTGTATAGGTTTACTGGTCAGCTAACCATATATATTCTGTTGCACATTGTGTGTAATAGAATCGACCAATCCATTAAATCTGTGACAAATTAGTAATAGATATGCAATATCGACATTTTTAATGCATCAGCTTTGATAGGTTAGATGAGTTGCATGCTTTTCAAGTTTAAGCAATGCAATCGGTTTTTATGTTTCTTGTTAGGAAAGCAATATTTTAGTGGGAAATTGAGATAACAGCTGCTCAGTCTACCTCTGGGATTTAGGAGCATTGAGCAGACTCTGCACAGTAATTTATAAAATGAACTATGCACATCTTTATAATTAGAGCTGCATAGCCTAGTAGAGTATCAAAACTAGTTTGCAAATTCATGACCTAAATGGAAAGTTGTAGAAACACTATAATTTTAGACAGCATATAAAACTGGCAATCTGATATATTACTCACTGTACTCACCTAATTGTACTTTGGCTTTTTGGTCCTGCCTCTCAACTGTCAATCAACTGGTGTACAGATTCTGGAGCCTACTGGGATCTATCATATCTACATTTTAAATTGCATATAGTCTGCCTCCACCACTCACTGCCTAATACATTCCATTTGTTAACTACTCTGACACTGAAAAAAAATCTTTCTAATCTCTGTGGCTCATTTGGGTACTACGTTTTCACCTGTGTCTCCTTGTTCATGTTCCGCCCATGTTAAATGGTTTGCCTTTGTCCACCCTCTCAATTCCCCTGATTATTTTGTAGGTAGTTATGTCCCCCCTTACTCATCAGTTTTCCAGGGACGTGAAGTTTATCCCCCATAGCCTCTCCTTGTAGCTCATACCTCTGTTCTAGGACTAGTCCGGTGGTACTGTATACCTCTGAATCTTCTATAACTTTATCTTGTGTTTAACTGGGTATGGACTCCAGGCTGGAGCTGCATACTCAAGGATTGGTCTGACATAAGTGGTATACAGGGTCCTAAACGATTCTTTACACAAGTTTCTAAAGGCAGAATTTGTGTCCCATGAGCTGTGGTTCTGCCCACTGTATGTGCAAAGGATTAATTTGGACTCAAGATAGTGATTGTAACATTCAGTACACATTGGACCAGCTATCATTCTGGGTTCATAGACGACCTGCAGAGGTGACAGTCAGTATATTAGGCACTAAAGGAGAAAAAGCACAAAACTGAAAAACCAAATATTTTATTTATAAAATGTAATCCCAAAAATATTATATATATACACATTTATTTTATATTTAATGTATTGTATATATAAACAATTCACCAGTAACTATGTACTTTTGGCACCATGTTAGTTCCTTGCCATCCCATAAGTATTTGGCAAAGCTGTATATACTGTATATATTAATTATATATAAGTTGTACACAAGGTGATTCACCAGACAAGACCTATCCCTCATGTACTCTCACATTTACCCTACAAACGTTTTAACCATTTAACTCTCAGGAATTATCTTGTCAGCATCTTTTAAATTTCCTTTCGTTAAACATTTCATTCACCCTATTCGCTGTTTTCTATGGGGTTGTCTAGCCATCTTGTACTATCTGGAACGCCATAACTATATTTTGCATCATCTCGCATTAACAAAATATTCCATACGAACATATGATTGTGCCATATCCATATGGTCATGCAATCTCCATAAATCCTTTTGTTCATTCTTCAGTGAATGCTTCACACTAAATACTTCTCAAATTTTAATTTCTAACTATAATCTTGCTCTAAAATAAAAGCATATATATTCTCATCAGAATATTTATAATACCTGTATATATTTGCTTTTCACAAACAATCCTCTGGATACATCATGTATCTAAATCATTCATCCTACCATGTTTGTCGAAACTTGCATTGTAGTTCCCTAATGCACCTAACAAGTTTGTACTAAATACTTCCACTTGCCGAAGAACAACCCAGGCTTATGCCATGAATATCTAACCTTTGTTAACAATAATATAGTACCCAGGTACCAGTATTTAGCAATAGAGGTTCTCCATACAAACTCAGAATGTCAATACTCAGTATACATTCAGTATTTTCTGTTGATACACACACACAGTATACACTATGTATGCTCAGTATACACAGTGTGTATAATCACTATGAAGTATATACATACTGTATACTCGGTTATAGTGTGAGCACTCAGTATGAAGTATATACATACTGTATTCAGTATACACAGTGTATATCATTGCGTTTTACCTCCAACCAGTTTGAAAGTTCTTCAATTCTCACAACCCCTGACCAGACTTTTCCTGTAATGACTTTATTGGTAAGGCCACTGCTGATAACAGCCTACACCACACACAATTCACAACCCAGCTGATCAGCAGGGAATTATTACCCTGGTAGACTGTCGATTCAGATTTTAGATGATTGCTTAAATGAACTGATATCCTCATCTATATTATACAGAACCAGTTTGTTACCAAAATCTATCTATAAATTGGAGGAGTTCATACGCTGCAGGTAACAAATGTATTTTGTAGGTTGTATTGCGTTTCAAGAATATATAAGTCTAGCTTATCTTCTCTGGTCATTGACTAGGAAATTGATTCTCTAAGCAAATACTTTTACAAAAAATATGAGAAAAAAACCCACAACAATATTAAAATGTAAAAAAGTTTAACATTAAACAAATATATATATATATATATATATATATATATATATATATATATATATATATATTTATGGTATGTTGCTGAAACCCAAGCACAAGCATTTCCAACTACTACTTTAGTGTCTGGCTGGAAGAAAATGCTTTTCTACTTTAAATGTTTCTTCTGATAGCTCAAGAATGTGTGATCAAGATTTAAGTATGTTGTGAGAAACTCGGGAAAGTCTCTCTTGGTAACAATCTCTTCAAATATTTCAGCAGCTGCTTGTAATCTTTCCTTATCTTTATCTGACTTAAAAGGCATTTGGTCGTCTAAGACCACAGCAGAGTTTACGAAGTCTTTAATCAGTTGCTGAACGAGACTTCTTGTGATAACTTCATCATTATCCTCCAATGTTGCCTGTAAAATAAATTACATTATTTGTATAACTTGGATTTAATAAAACAAAACAAACAATGGCATACAGATGAGCACCTAATGTACAAGAAATAAAATAATTGATTTTGACATTTTTGCTATAAAAATATTCATTGCAAATATTTGCTAGATATAAAGCATTTATTAAATACTACAAAAATTATACTATTACACAGTTCAAATTAAAAAATTCAAAATTCAAATGTTTATTCAGGTAAAGTACATACATACAAGAGGCGATACAAAAATTGATAGATTTATAGATAGAGCTAGTACATACAATGCCTAAAGCCACTATTACGCAAAGCGTTTCGGGCAGGAGTTGTTTAATCACTTTCAGTCTGGCACATATTTTCCACAAATAAAACATTTTGACACTAACACATTCAACTGCCAAGCAAATAAAGTAACAAGCTCTTTCTGCTACTTCTCCTATTCGATTTCTGAGCCATTCAACTTCACCACAGAATGCCCTGCAACTGCACCTTGCCAGTAACAGCATTTTCCACTAACTTGATATTTGACTACAGCTGTTGAATGAGATCTTCCTTTTCATTAAGAGGAAGTTACTTGTACTATTGCAATAGATGCTCACTAAGAACCTTCACTCCTCTATATTATCTTTGAGATCTTATTATGTATTTTCCACTGTATATTTATAAACCATTATTGAGAAAAGAATATTTCTTAAATCATTGTACCATCTCAAACCTAATACCTTTGCTCTTGGCAATCTCACAGTTACCATCTACTTCTCAATTACTTATTCATCTAAATTTTGCAATGCCTCTTGTATTTCTTCAATACAATAGTTTACCTTAAATTTAGAGGGATCTCTCTCTCTCTTCTGACTTCCATCTTACTCACTTGCCTGGACAGAATTATAAAGTCACTTAATCTGTTTTCTTTAAATATATGATAGCATTCCTCTCTTTTTATCATCCTTTTATGGACTTCATAAAATTTCTTACTTATGCTATTCTCTTATTTCTCCTACAACTGTTTTATGCTTGTAGAATACCAATCCCAAACACTTAAACTCTTAAATCTCTCCTAACATTGGCACTTCATTCCCAGTTTTAATACAATAGAGTATTATTATATTTTGTCTATTATTTTGAAAAGCTGAATTAAACCCATCATTTTGCTCTCTCACCTCTTAAAAACTTAACTAGTGTCTACAATCTTTATAACTTTCTTCTCTGACTCACCCTGTGTCTGATCCACTGCCATACTTGTGAGCGAGAAATTTCTGCTGTAGCCGAGTCTTCTACTGCTGCTTTATAAATGAAGTGGCCTTTGCCTTGCAGCCATGCATCAATGAAGAGGATACCAACAGCTACATTGTGCCTAAGGCCATCTAAGGTCACACCACCTGTAATAAGCGTAATATTGTATTATGAACTTCTGAAACATTGAAGGTCTTTGAAATAACATTTAAAACCAAAATAAAATACTTGCAAATGATTTTTTAATAATGTATCTAATAAACATATTTTCAACAAATACAGTAACATGAAATATGGCAACCAATCATGCTGAGGGGATGCTCATTCTCTTTACTTATTTTTGAATACAAGCATCAACTGTTTCACTTTTGTGATAGCCAATGAATACTGAACATGAAAACTGCCAGTAAATGTTAAATGCACTTTTCAAGTGTTTTCAACACCTGAAAGTACTTAAAATATCTCAATTTATTTTCCACACAAAGCCCACCACTGTAAGAAAGGAAGTACACAAAGGAATGAAGGCATAAAATACTACGTCAAATTTGAAATATTATATACAAACCTAAAATTACCGATATTGTACTCAAACCCAAAAGAACAAAATTATAAACAAACCCAAAATTATTGATATTGTACACAAGCCCAAAATAATTGATATTGTACACGAGCCCAAAATTACCGGCACCGTACACAAAGTCAGGCAAGCTTTATCTCGGTACCTGAGGGCATCTGTAACAGGTCTTCAGGGGTAAGCTGCACATCCTGTCGTTGAGTGTGAATCTGGTTTATCTCCACGTGGGCCAACATCTAAAATATATTAATTAATATCAGAAATATATAGCTGAAAATAATCATCAAGTTTCCAATAAATGTTACCCATAATTAAAATACAAGATCAGCACCCTATGAATACACACACAAATACACAAGACCCCAACATACACAATATACATACATATACATACCTGAATGCACACAACACATCTATATATACCTTATATTCAGTATTGGGGGGAAACAGTCAAATATTCCTCGACTGTAACAATATTTATAAATGCATTACCCTTTTTATGTTTTGCAACTCCATAGTCTCCTGAGACTGATGGATGCCTACTACTACTAACCCTGCTGTAAAACTAATACAAAATCTCTCAGTTTCATTAGAAGTACAGCACAGTACTGTATTATACACATCATATGGCAGTCTGTTGGAACCATAAATTGTTTATAGTGCTGCTGCCAGGTTGCTAGTTAGGCAGACAAATGAACAGTAAGCGAGATTCGCTCTATGATGGTCACTTGTAAGGCTAAGGACGCATTTGAAGATGTTTGAATGTGCATTATTCTTCTTCTAGAAGTCCTCTTGAATTTGAGGACTTCCAGATACCCTATAATAATCAAACAGGGATGTTTGATAAGATCTCTGTGGTGCTGGGGGGTCAGAATGTCAATCTACCTGACTGCATATGATCTGTCATATGACATACTGATCTTTATCTTAGGCAGAAATTGAATGACACAGCTACAACCCTCCCTGTCCAAGATCCAGCAGCCATCTTCCTAAGATGCAGCTACCATCCTCCCTCCCTCCCCACAAGGTGCAGCTACCATCCTCCCTCCCCACAAGGTGCAGCTACCATCCTCCCTCCCCACAAGGTGCAGCTACCATCCTTCCTCCCCACAAAGTGCAGCTACCATACTCCCTCCCACCCTCCCCACAAGGTGCAGTTACTATCCTCCCTCCCTCCCCAGAAAGTGCAGCTACCATCCTCCCTCCTCACAAGGTGCAGTTACCTTCCTCCCTCCATCTAAACTTTTTCTCTGTATATATAAAATTAAACAAAACAAATCTTCACATAAGACATTCAGAATGCAAAAAAAAAAAAAAAAATAAATAGAAACAGTAGAGCAAGAAGAAAATATTAGTCAGCACCAAAATCAAGAGGAAAGGCAAAGTAAGATTCATTATTATGTCTATAAACATACAGTATTACTTTTGTCTAATGAATTTCAAATTGTGCGCAGATTTATTAAGCATGTGTTAAACTTACTTTATTCATAACTGGGACTAAACGCACATCATACACCATGAAGCCATCAGCACCGGCAAGTATTTCACGATATTTAGCCTCTGTAATTTTGGTTATAACATTCGGATCTCTGAAAAAATTATTCATCAATGTCAAGTTTAAAATGATAGGTAAAACTATGTTTGCCACTGGAAAGTTTAAATAAAACTATATAATGAAGTGTAATAGAGTAGTCACTCTCTGTTTACAACATATCCTTAAAAAATGTATATACAATACACTGACTGTGGATAGTATGCGAGACTGTGGAACCACAAAAAAATTAATGTTTTATGATGTTCATCCTTCAGAGTAGAAGATGATCATGACTTCAATGAATGGGTTGAAGTCGTGTATTTACGCTTGACTTAGATTGAGGAAAGAGTTGTGCAAGTTGTCAGCCTCCCTCTCTTGTTCTGGCTTATTTAAGTCCAGCAGCAAGACGAGTCGAGACGGCAGGAAATTAGGTTAGGATGCAGTGGATGGCCCAGAAGTGTCCTACGTGTCTCACGGAACGACAATGCTTTGCTACTTCCACGTTAAGCCATTCTAGTGGTTTCCTCCTTGCCTTTATTTCTGTGCTGCAGTTCGTATTATGTACAAACATCCCCATCATCACTATTCGTACTATCAATTTTTGAAGATGGGTAAGTTTTCATATGGCTAAGGACTATATGATAAAGTAATGTAATTGTGCTAGTGTTCAGGATGTACTGCTCATAGTTAAAGTAGTAAATCCAGCTAGTATTCAGTATTGTGCAAAAAGGGACATATAGAGGACATAATGGGAGAGAGATTAGAACAAATATACAATTGTAAGGAATCCCACTGATGGATCATGAAAGACACTAATACTGAAGAAATACCATACAGAGTTATACCATTTCATCTATGTAACCCAACAGATACACACACACTGATGGCTTACTGAGATTCCAGGATGGTAGCTGCCATACCGCCGGTTGCATGAGCTCCTCGTCTGTGGCAAGTCTGGATGACCAAATCCATATAGCTCCGCAGAAAGTGACGTTGCATGTTAACATACTTATTACGGTCTGGCAAAACAAAATCACTCCTGTGCCCTAAATAAATCAAACAGTCATGAGATTAATGAAATTTAAAAATTACGATTATTTATATAAATTGCTAAATATTTAATAAATTCAATAATAGTAAATACATGAACAAATCCACAAGGGCTGTGACGAAGGTTTGAACCACAAGGGCTCGTCACGGTCCTTGTAGATTTGTTCATTTGATGAATCACGCTATTGTGATTTCTGTGTGTAGTGGGTAAATACATTAACACATCTGTTGCTTTTTCTCCTTGACACCTCATCATTTTTAAAGTAACTTCATTTAAAGTTCTTTAATGAAAGGGGAATTGCTGTTAACATGAAAGAGTTAAGATGAAGTGCATTTTACAAAGGGGTATTTTGAGAGTTAATCTAGTACCTATGACATCAGACTACTATACCTCTGTGTATAGTATTATTATGTGTGTATTAATATTATGTGTATAGAATGTGACAATTTCAGTCAGTACCTTTCTGTGCTGTAGTAATGTACTGTATGTGCTTACACAAATTTTAAATTACATCTTAGTTGCTAATTACTAGTCTCCTGTGCTACACATTATTCTACGAAACATATGTAAAATAAATTTTGTGGAGCGTAGTATACTTCCTGAGGTAATGTCCACAAGGGGTAAATATGTACTTACCCCTTGTTTGTATTGTTTGCTGTCTCAAATATACAGCCTGTAGAATACAACTTTCTATTCCATCATTTATATTCATCCACAGTGGCTGGAAAGACTTAAGAGATTCTCCTAACTAAATATATTATTAAGTTACAACAATATACAATATTTGTGTAGCATGATAAATTGGATCATTATGCTATGTACTTTAAAAGTGAAAAAGAACATGCAAATCAGAAAGCTGAGAACTTTGATATCAGCTACTTACCAAATTTATTAACGAAGGATGCAGAGTAATCCCAAATTCCACAATTTAGACCAAGAGAATGGTTGCGAAGCTCATACAGTATTTGATCCATCTCAAATGATGCCAATATATTTTCTATTAGCACACAAGCCTTGATTGTACCTGGAATTAATTATAAATTAAATATACTATAAATGCTGTAGCATGCTAGCCTTTTGTAAGAAAAAACGTGGCATCAACTCTCAAAGTGTGGTTATTGTCATATGTTTATTCACAAAGTAATACAGTTATCATCATACGTTTATCGTCATATGTTTATTCACACGGTAATATGGTTATTGTCATACGTTTATTCACAAGGTAATCAGTTATCGTCATACTTTTATTAACATGACAAATACGGTTATCGTCATACGTTCATTCACAAAGTAATACAGTTATCGTCATACGTTCATTCACAAAGTAATACAGTTATCATCATACATTTATTCACAAGGTTATCGTCATATGTTTATTCACAAGATAATATGGTTATCATATAATGATTGACATGGTAATGCGGCTATCATCAGACAACTATTATTGTCTGGGATTTATACCAATGATGATAATATGGATATAATAGCCCTGAATACATGTTTATTGTCAACCTGATCAACCAGGCTGTGACTCGTACGTCAGGCTGCGAGCAGCCGCGTCCAACAGCCTGGTTGATCAGTCCGGCAACCAGGAGGCCTGGTCGACGACCGGGCCGCGGGGACGCTAAGCCCCGGAAGCACCTCAAGGTGTGGTAGTAGATATACCGTGACCCATGAAAAAAATATCTTGCCATCATTTCAAGACCTTATCATGTAAATGTAGTTATCACAAATGCTACAATGCTAATACAGTAGTTGTCATGGAATGAAATTACATTATAATTACAGTACATGATTCACCCCCCCCAAAACACACACACACATCCTGATTATGTACATATGGTTTTTACAACTCTATATGATGTAATGAAGTATACCAGGTCAACCAATCCTGGAAGAATCAATCAATTCTTCAACAATCGAAGCCATGGAAACATCTGGAGGCAGAAAGTGGGGAAAATAATATATATATGTCTGCATTGAAACTTAAAGGGAAGTAACTAAGTACTGTAATTATCAAAAGAAGGCGCAATGCTTACAGTTGTGCTACTGTATGTAGCACAACGTAAAGTCAAACCATGATGCCAAACATTCTAGGAGACAAACATACAAAAGGATCTTGCTCAGTAATGTGTAGGTGTACAAAATGAACACTGATGAAATAAAGATGCAAAATAAAGGGCAATAATAAGGCAAACCTTGAGGAATGTTGAGTTTATCTTGGGTCCAGCAAAATATATTATTCCAAACTCTAGCCTCATTAGCTCCTTCAAGTTTAGAGAGATAAAAGAATGGCCCACTCTGTGCAGCTACAAGACGGGAAGCACAGTGGAACATAAGGAGCCCAAAGTCAAAGAGAGGCCCAGGAACTTCCTTCCCATCAACCTGAAAAATAAAGTTTGATATAATTAACCTATGTTATTATGGAAGAGATATTCATTTCAAATAGAAAACACAGTATTTCCATTTGCCATTTACTGAGTCCTTAACTTCAAATGGCAAAGCAAAACTGTCTAATAAGCAAGAGGAAAACAAGTAGGATGCAAAACTTGAATTACATGAACACTATGACAAAGGGTGCATACTTTTCTCAGCTTTCAGACCCTACTTCAATAATACTGATACTAGGAAGTCATTGGAGAAAAGTTCAGCCAAGCTCACAGTCACTACAGAAATTTACACACAAAATGCAAACATTTCCAAGCCCTACTTAGCATAACAAGGACTTCTATGTAGTGCTATCACAAGCAGGTCCTGGGTGACACTAGCATGTCCTTTCAGCAGTTGAACATTTTGTCAGTTCTCACAACGAACTGAAATGTGTTTTTCTTCAGTGTATCCCTAGCACTAGCATGGCCCGACTAGGAGGTTATATTACTTGTTCACATAAACATTAGTTATATGCAAGATGAGTATAGCAAGATGAATACTAATCCATTCATCTTGCTAAGAAGAATGCAAGATGCAGAAAAATATAAAAAATATGAAATATTAAAAATATGAGTACATGAAGTAAGAGGTTGTGTACGCATTAGATGCATACACAAACTAACACAATTATAAAAAAAGAAGGTAAGGTGTAGGACATCTAATGAATATACCATAATCACTTGGCTAGATTCTCTACATGAATGGCTTTACTGTGATAGTACGATGCAGCACATAACGTGTTTCCACGAACCAGAATATTGTGTTCAATCATGTTCCAGGCACGAGGACGTAACATTAAGATTGGTAATTTGCCGATATCTCCCACGCCAGGGAAAAGACCAAACACAGCCTTATAAACATTATGAAGGCCACGCAGCTGGGCACACCAAGTTGGACAATGACCATCGTCAAAGTCAGTCTGTATACCATTGACATCACATTGTAGTGCCTCTATAAACTTGTCAGTGTTCGCAGGGGACACATCCCCCAGGTCAAGTTTGCGGCACACAAGTCTCTTTGGTACTGGAGCCACTCTCCAGCTCCCCTCCTCAACCTGAAATAAAGAATTACAGTAAATAAATATTCCATAATGCGACAAGACTCATTTTAATGTTAAGACACTAATGACATCACAAATATGCACATGTGCACTGAAGGAATAATATACATAGAGAAGAGACTCTCTCTCCTCTCCTCGTCTCACCATGCCCAGCTTCACGACAATGCATTTTCATCACTTCATAACGATGTCATCATCATTTGACTGAACAAGTGCCTATTTATACTCATACAAAAGTAGTACAACATGCATTACAGCCTAATTATACCTATTTCATAAAGAATGCTCAAGTCACTTTACCTTCAAATTCCTTATAAAGCTTGGCAGATGACCATTAATATCCATCTCTACTTTTCGCCTCAGTCGCTCTTTCATCATCTGTAAAAATAACATGTCGCTGTACAGTACTGAAACAGTTATTTATGGGAAAGTCAAAATAACTTTAGAGTGAATACCTTTTTAAGACATTTCTGAATTATTATTGTGCTTCCCGGTGCTGTTTGCTAACATAACAAGACAGGGTTTAGCCAAACACATTGCCAGTGGTGTTCATACACATATATAGTTTGTACTTCACATCTGAGAAGCGAGAACCTCTGTTCCTGGATGCCTGCTTACAAGGTAGCAGCGACATTTATATTTTGACAGTACTGTACCGTATTTACAATTGACCGCCCATGGAAAAAGGATAATGTTTTGGAGATTAAAATCACTTTTGCCTAGCTTCGTATTAAATTAAAAAAAAATCTATTTTTGTATCTAATAAAATTCATAAACATTTTGATTGTTGAAAAATGAGAGGAAAACAAATAGGGACCAAATAATTCAATACTAAATCAAACATGTTCTCAAAGCATAGAATATTACTGAATATAATAATTTTAAAATCACTAATGAACATTGTTTATTTTAGTGAAAATAGAGCACAGAGTGTAATGAAATGCTCTTATAAGGGCATCACTTGGGTAGATTAACTTAGCCTACATCACTGAGACTGTAAGGCCTTTGTAAATACGTAGAGTACAGCAGGCACCCGGTGAATCTCAACCCACAGGGGACAAGGATCTTTTCCAAACATCTTGCCCCCATCCCCACCACCCCTCAGTGGTGGGCATGGGGGCTGTGGTGGATGGTGGCAAAGTTCAGTGGTGGATGTGTAGGGAGCTTTTGTACTCAGAGATCAATCCACTTTCTATGTGATATATGTGTGAAAATACTGAGAGGCATCAAAACAGTTCCATTTCACGGTAAATAAAAAATGAAACTGTGTAGACAAATGAACACTTGACTCATGGGTAATGCAAATTTTATGAGGCGAGTTTGGTGATCAATTTTCTAGAAGGGAAACGCTCTGTGTATTAGTGGCTCTATATAATGTTTACCTGCTCTGTATTGTTTACCTACAAATTCTCGACTGTATTTTGCATCTAATGTATGTATTTTCATATAAATAAACATTATTATTATTATTATTATTATATTACTATTATTACATACTGAAAACTTCTCATGAAAGAATAAATGGAATTGAAGACCATGTTCGTAAAAGCTGTTTACAAGGTTCTCTGTCATGGTCACCCCACTAAGTAGGCAAGGGCACCATTGGTATAAAATAAATGTTATTAGTAACATCAGGATACGGGACTACTGCTATGACAAATACACAATACATAGGTGAGAGCTTTCTTACAAGGTCAAATTGAGCATTAAACTGTCTGGTAAGCTCAGCGACAAATTTGACAGCAGCTGGAGTAAGAAGTGTGGCATACTCCTCTTCCATTCCTTCTGGAGGTGGTTCTACTTCCACGTCAGTCACACCTATCTGAGCCAAGCCTGCTTTGAGCGCCCCCACCAGACCGCTTTGGACAGAAGAAGCATTGAAGACAACTTGCTTTTTACTCTGAAAAGAAGCAGAATTAAATCAAATATTTTGCTTTCAACTGTCATAAGTTGGAGAAACATTCACAGATGATGAAAAAAGCCTTTTAGGAGTAAAATATGCAAAATAATAAATGTAACATCTGTCCTCCCACATTGAATACACACAAAAAATAGCTTGGTTAATACAAATGATCTCCGAGTTCTGAGATACTGTACTTATTAACAATGATACTATGTAAATGACTTTCAACTTAAGTACTTGCTACTTTTAATCTTGAGTGAACTATCAAGCATAATGTACGTAAGGGTCTACATTTGGGATTATATTTGTATAAAAGTAAATTTAAACTTATGTAACATAATCAGTCTTTAACTAATTTAGTTGTATGAAACTAACAAATATTCAGGCGATGAGTCACAATAACGTGGCTAAAGTAAGTTGACCAGACCACACACTAGAAGGTGAAGGGACGACGACGTTTCGGTCCGTCCTGGACCCTTCTCAAGTCGATTGCGATTGTTTGTGACGATTGATGAACCACAATCGACTTGAGAATGATCCAGGATGGACCGAAACGTCGTCGTCCCTTCACCTTCTAGTGTGTGGTCTGGTCAACTCACAAATATTAAGTACATATACACTTAAACATACTAATAAGTTCTCACTTTTTCAGCACAGCTGCTAGCATTTCTGAGAGTAGGGGAGTGCAAGAGTAAATGGTTCCTGATGACTTGCAAACGTCCATGCATTCTTGTGTCAGCCATTGCCATAATTCACTCTTCTTGGCCTGTGTAAGATCTGCTGTAAAGACAATCAAAACATTAAGTTAATTCTTAAAATAACTGTGCAAAGTCATATAATACACAAGACAGTTGGACAATGAATTTTAAAATGTACATGACCTTACCTCAGCCTTACTCAACCCACTGCAATACAGCCTAACCTAACAATATACAGTATATGGTTTTGACACTTAGAAAAAGATGAGATTTGTCAAAACACCTATGTACAATCTCACCATACCCTGATCACCTAGCCAAACGTTTTTAAAGAAAATATAATCTCTATCTTCCATATAGTATTCACATCCTCTTCAGTATTTGTAATGCAGATTATAATTCTCCTCAGTCCCTTTATAGTACATTCATTTCCATGACAACAAAAATAATAAAATTGCATAAAAAGAGCAAAGCACAGCAGAAATTATATGGCAAGAAAATTATGTATTAGAAAATTACTGTCAAGTGGCAAGAATAAAATCCGAATTGCTTGTCGCATATTGGGATAAAGTCCTTAATTAAGGTAAGGTGATTATCATGAGAAAATGCTAAGCCAGTATGACAATATAGCACTCGCAAAGCATATGAGAATAAGGAAGGTATTGGAATAAGAAAGAGTTAAGGAACGGTGCCCAACCACTTTGTTTATAAGGAATGGAACGTCGACCCCCCAATAAGAGTGCCAGGCGGAGTAACAAGTGGCCAGAGTGCCAGGTGGAGTAACAAGTGGCCAGAGTGCCAGGTGGAGTAACAAGTGGCCAGAGTGCCAGGCGAGGAGTAACAAGTGACGAGAGTGCCAGGCGGAGTAACTGACCTTACCTCTACACAGACACCAAACGCAACACCTCAACAACTCCCAGGAACCAGCACGAGGTCAAGGAGGAACCAGGAATACAACACATACTGTTTGCGAGACGGTACAAGAGTTGTTTTGGGGCCACGACGACAGATGGAGCAAAGGTTGTTGTTGTTGTTGAAGGGATAGAGGCAGCTAGTGTACGTGCCCGCGCGAGCTGACGGTCTAAAAGTTGCAAATTTGTAATAAGAGCAGCCCAATTTTTTGTTTAGTGACTGATACGAGTTTCAAAGTAATATATTTTGGTATATAGAGTACACTACACGATGTTAATTGGTTATATATATATATGTTTATATATATATATATATATATATATATATATATATATATATATATATATATATATATATATATATATATATATATATATATATATTCCTGGGGACCATTCAGGCTTGTTCGCATATATATATATATATATATATATATATATATATATATATATATATATATATATATATATATATATATATATATATATATATATATATATATATATATATATATAAGTACATTTTTTTACCCTAAAAGGGGTACCACCTCTGGTGCATGTGTAGGGACCCATAGCCTGGAGCACTAGTACACAAACAAGCGCTGAAGCACAACCATGCACGAACCGGAGCACAACCATGCACAACCCAAAGCCCAACAAGTCACACCCCTGGTGTTATGTAATCTGAACCCGACAAGTTGTGAAACAGGAGCCCGACCAGTTGTCAAACCGCAAGCCTAGCATGAACGAACCATACAAACAACCTCTGGATTACAACCATGCACGAACGGAAGCCCGACTATGCACAACCCAAGGCCCAAATTACACCCCCGGAGCCCGACCAGTTATTTAACCGGAGCCCGACCAGTTATTTAACCGGAGCCCGACCAGCTATTTAACCGGAGCCCGACCAGTTGTGTAACAGGAGCCCCACCAGTTGTGTAACCGGACCCCGACCAGTTGTGTAACCCAGACCAGTTGTGTAACCGTACCCCGACCAGTTGTGTAACCTTAAGCCTAGCAAGTATACATCTCATCCAATCCCCACAAAGTTAAACAGCCCCAGAGCACAACCAAACTCCATTCCTAGCTCGACCAAACAATTGAACTATAAACAAAAAAAGAAACCCGGATTTCTAGCAAACATATAAACATAGAGCCTTAGCAAACAAACCTGGAGCACTAGTACACAAACAACCACTGGAGCACAACCATGTACGAACCAGAGCACAACCATGCACAACCCAAAGCCCAACAAGTCACACCCCTGGTGTTATGTAATCTGAACCCGACAAGTTGTGAAACAGGAGCCCGACCAGTTGTCTAACCGCAAGCCTAGCATGAACGAACCATACAAACAACCTCTGGATTACAACCATGCACGAACGGAAGCCCGACTATGCACAACCCAAGGCCCAAATTACACCCCCGGAGCCCGACCAGTTATTTAACCGGAGCCCGACCAGTTATTTAACCGGAGCCCGACCAGCTATTTAACCGGAGCCCGACCAGTTGTGTAACAGGAGCCCCACCAGTTGTGTAACCGGACCCCGACCAGTTGTGTAACCCAGACCAGTTGTGTAACCGTACCCCGACCAGTTGTGTAACCTTAAGCCTATCAAGTATACATCTCATCCAATCCCCACAAAGCTAAACAGCCCCAGAGCACAACCAAACTCCATTCCTAGCTCGACCAAACAATTGAACTATAAACAAAAAAAGAAACCCGGATTTCTAGCAAACATATAAACATAGAGCCTTAGCAAACAAACCTGGAGCACTAGTACACAAACAACCACTGGAGCACAACCATGTACGAACCAGAGCACAACCATGCACAACCCAAAGCCCAACAAGTCACACCCCTGGTGTTATGTAATCTGAACCCGACAAGTTGTGAAACAGGAGCCCGACCAGTTGTCTAACCGCAAGCCTAGCATGAACGAACCATACAAACAACCTCTGGATTACAACCATGCACGAACGGAAGCCCGACTATGCACAACCCAAGGCCCAAATTACACCCCCGGAGCCCGACCAGTTATTTAACCGGAGCCCGACCAGTTATTTAACCGGAGCCCGACCAGCTATTTAACCGGAGCCCGACCAGTTGTGTAACAGGAGCCCCACCAGTTGTGTAACCGGACCCCGACCAGTTGTGTAACCCAGACCAGTTGTGTAACCGTACCCCGACCAGTTGTGTAACCTTAAACCTAGCAAGTATACATCTCATCCAACCCCCACAAAGCTAAACAGCCCCAGAGCACAACCAAACTCCATTCCTAGCTCGACCAAACAATTGAACTATAAACAAAAAAAGAAACCCGGATTTCTAGCAAACATATAAACATAGAGCCTTAGCAAACAAACCTGGAGCACTAGTACACAAACAACCACTGGAGCACAACCATGTACGAACCAGAGCACAACCATGCACAACCCAAAGCCCAACAAGTCACACCCCTGGTGTTATGTAATCTGAACCCGACAAGTTGTGAAACAGGAGCCCGACCAGTTGTCTAACCGCAAGCCTAGCATGAACGAACCATACAAAACCTCTGGATTACAACCATGCACGAACGGAAGCCCGACTATGCACAACCCAAGGCTCAAATTACACCCCCGGAGCCCGACCAGTTATTTAACCGGAGCCCGACCAGTTATTTAACCGGAGCCCGACCAGCTATTTAACCGGAGCCCGACCAGTTGTGTAACAGGAGCCCCACCAGTTGTGTAACCGGACCCCGACCAGTTGTGTAACCCAGACCAGTTGTGTAACCGTACCCCGACCAGTTGTGTAACCTTAAACCTAGCAAGTATACATCTCATCCAACCCCCACAAAGCTAAACAGCCCCAGAGCACAACCAAACTCCATTCCTAGCTCGACCAAACAATTGAACTATAAACAAAAAAGAAACCCGGATTTCTAGCAAACATATAAACATAGAGCCTTAGCAAACAAACCTGGAGCACTAGTACACAAACAACCACTGGAGCACAACCATGTACGAACCAGAGCACAACCATGCACAACCCAAAGCCCAACAAGTCACACCCCTGGTGTTATGTAATCTGAACCCGACAAGTTGTGAAACAGGAGCCCGACCAGTTGTCTAACCGCAAGCCTAGCATGAACGAACCATACAAAACCTCTGGATTACAACCATGCACGAACGGAAGCCCGACTATGCACAACCCAAGGCCCAAATTACACCCCCGGAGCCCGACCAGTTATTTAACCGGAGCCCGACCAGTTATTTAACCGGAGCCCGACCAGCTATTTAACCGGAGCCCGACCAGTTGTGTAACAGGAGCCCCACCAGTTGTGTAACCGGACCCCGACCAGTTGTGTAACCCAGACCAGTTGTGTAACCGTACCCCGACCAGTTGTGTAACCTTAAGCCTAGCAAGTATACATCTCATCCAACCCCCACAAAGCTAAACAGCCCCAGAGCACAACCAAACTCCATTCCTAGCTCGACCAAACAATTGAACTATAAACAAAAAAAAGAAACCCGGATTTCTAGCAAACATATAAACATAGAGCCTTAGCAAACAAACCTGGAGCACTAGTACACAAACAACCACTGGAGCACAACCATGTACGAACCAGAGCACAACCATGCACAACCCAAAGCCCAACAAGTCACACCCCTGGTGTTATGTAATCTGAACCCGACAAGTTGTGAAACAGGAGCCCGACCAGTTGTCTAACCGCAAGCCTAGCATGAACGAACCATACAAACAACCTCTGGATTACAACCATGCACGAACGGAAGCCCGACTATGCACAACCCAAGGCCCAAATTACACCCCCGGAGCCCGACCAGTTATTTAACCGGAGCCCGACCAGTTATTTAACCGGAGCCCGACCAGCTATTTAACCGGAGCCCGACCAGTTGTGTAACAGGAGCCCCACCAGTTGTGTAACCGGACCCCGACCAGTTGTGTAACCCAGACCAGTTGTGTAACCGTACCCCGACCAGTTATGTAACCTTAAGCCTAGCAAGTATACATCTCATCCAATCCCCACAAAGCTAAACAGCCCCAGAGCACAACCAAACTCCATTCCTAGCTCGACCAAACAATTGAACTATAAACAAAAAAAGAAACCCGGATTTCTAGCAAACATATAAACATAGAGCCTTAGCAAACAAACCTGGAGCACTAGTACACAAACAACCACTGGAGCACAACCATGTACGAACCAGAGCACAACCATGCACAACCCAAAGCCCAACAAGTCACACCCCTGGTGTTATGTAATCTGAACCCGACAAGTTGTGAAACAGGAGCCCGACCAGTTGTCTAACCGCAAGCCTAGCATGAACGAACCATACAAAACCTCTGGATTACAACCATGCACGAACGGAAGCCCGACTATGCACAACCCAAGGCTCAAATTACACCCCCGGAGCCCGACCAGTTATTTAACCGGAGCCCGACCAGTTATTTAACCGGAGCCCGACCAGCTATTTAACCGGAGCCCGACCAGTTGTGTAACAGGAGCCCCACCAGTTGTGTAACCGGACCCCGACCAGTTGTGTAACCCAGACCAGTTGTGTAACCGTACCCCGACCAGTTGTGTAACCTTAAGCCTAGCAAGTATACATCTCATCCAATCCCCACAAAGCTAAACAGCCCCAGAGCACAACCAAACTCCATTCCTAGCTCGACCAAACAATTGAACTATAAACAAAAAAAGAAACCCGGATTTCTAGCAAACATATAAACATAGAGCCTTAGCAAACAAACCTGGAGCACTAGTACACAAACAACCACTGGAGCACAACCATGTACGAACCAGAGCACAACCATGCACAACCCAAAGCCCAACAAGTCACACCCCTGGTGTTATGTAATCTGAACCCGACAAGTTGTGAAACAGGAGCCCGACCAGTTGTCTAACCGCAAGCCTAGCATGAACCAACCATACAAACAACCTCTGGATTACAACCATGCACGAACGGAAGCCCGACTATGCACAACCCAAGGCCCAAATTACACCCCCGGAGCCCGACCAGTTATTTAACCGGAGCCCGACCAGTTATTTAACCGGAGCCCGACCAGCTATTTAACCGGAGCCCGACCAGTTGTGTAACAGGAGCCCCACCAGTTGTGTAACCGGACCCCGACCAGTTGTGTAA